GCTTATTTTTACTGTTAAGTGCCTGTAAGCTGCTGGGCTTTACCCAAGGCATCCAGACAGCCAGATGGATGGCCAGGCCCTGGCCCAAGGAACTTGTAGTAGGTCTCCAGCTGTGTCTCAGGTGCTGCTCTGACCCTGCCTCTGTCACATTTTGAAATCCTGAGCCCTGAGACACAGTCTAAACCCAGAATTGGACTGGCTCGGAACAGGAGCTTTTAAGAGCCCCCATCTGATGCCAGAGGAGGGAAGAGCTACAGTGCCAAACGAGAAAGTGCACCATGGATCCCCCGCCATGCTCCTTGGGCAGCAGAGACAGGGCTGTGGGAAAGGGTTTGCTGCTCAGGCTGTATCTTCTCCTGCTTGTTCCTTGTGTAGCCAGGAGGCACTCCCCTCGAGTCCCCCCACAGCACAGTCAAAGTCACGTGGGTGTGCAAGGACAATAAGATCTTGCCTCTTGCTTAACCCACTCATGAAACATCCACTAGGGCCCTGACACTTGGTCAGCAGCCGGCAGGCTGTCTGAGAGTCCGCATCAGTCCATGATGTGCAGCTTCAGGTTCTCCGGCTGGTTGCTGGGGCAAGCTGACTGCCCCAACGTGGTGCATAGACTGCTGAACAGAATACAGCTATTGGCAACAGTTGCTGCCCTGGTGAGTGCCTGCTCCAAGCGATCAAGACAGAACGACATGGAGTTCGAGAGACTGGCACTGAGACCCGCATTAGAGCTCCTAGAAATTGTAGCACATTCCTTTCCTCTTCAAAGCTGACAGGATCCAACTAAGACGAGGGTAAAGGCTGGCTACATGTGTTCACAAGGTTGTTCTTGGCTTTGGAGCTGTGTGGGGGAAAGGTACAAAAGTAGGATCAAGGGAAGGGGAGATGAGAAGGGGACGCTTGTGAAGGGAGTTTAGAGCTGGAGGGAGGTGAAATGTGGATGGTAACCTGGGGTGATCTGGTACGACTGAGGCTGACAAATCACCCCGGACCATGCAGATGGAAGCAGTTTGCCAGGAACTAAGGGACGCTGTCAGAGGAAGCGAGCGCTGGCCGGCATGGATGGGAGCATGGGTGCAAGTGAGCAGAGCGCATCAGGTGGGGTGTACTCAGCTCCTCTGTTCAAAACGCACTCACTGATCCCAGAGGCTATCATTTTCATGGGAGAGAGGAAGCGGAGCCAGTTGTTGTGAGCTAGCAATGCCACTGACGTCTGCTCCTCCCCGTGAGGAAAGGACCTGCTGAGGCACACGCAACAAGCGGGGGTCCCTGGCCGGAACTGTGCCGCTGCAGCCTGACCTGCTCCAACAAGGCATTTCCTTCTTCCCTTTCTCTGGGGCCAGCCAGTGCTTGGGTCAGAGCTCTAGTTACTGTGAGATAGAGAAACCCCTCTCTACCAGTAACTGCTCCCAGCTGTAAGTGTTAGGGAGGTCCTTACCAGGAGAAACAGCCCTCACGCTGCTCCCAGAAAAGTTTGCACAGCCCCAGCTCACTCAGCCCTTTCCCTTGTGTGCCCAAAGGGTCTCCTCGAGGTGCCCCTGGGTGCTGAGCTGGCTGGGTCCCCATGCGGGCTGTAATGTATTGCCCACCCTCCTGCATCTGCCCCAGTGCAGGCTGCTCCCATGACCCGCTGGATCCAGAGGGAAATGTAGAGCAAGGCACCGGAAAGGCAGATCAGTGGGAGAAAAGGTCAAAGATTTATTCGATACACAGATGTGATTAAGTGGAGTGGGCCAAGGCTGGCCCTGGGGGGGACATGCCTGCTCGGCCTGCAACAATGAGAAAGCTGCTATTATCACCACTTTATCCTCTGACCTGCCCTGGCCCTGTCCGACGATGAGATCAGGCAGGACTGATGGAGAAGCCTAGGCTCTCAGGCCTGCTGTGATATCGGGTGGGAGGATTTGACCTGGCCCTCAGGAAGGTTTCACTGCCTGGCCCTTGCAGCATGAAATCGATGGCAGGGTTAACGTGACGATGAGCACCACAGCCCATGCCTCGTGCTGTGCCACAGTTCTGCTCCTTTACCAAAGGGATGGGGCATTCAAATGGCACTGATTCACACATTGTATGTGCAGGAAGCTGCGCGCTAAATGTGCACAAACCACTTTTCCTTGCCCCCAGTCTGTCTATACAAACAAGACATCTGACTCAGGTGGCAACCCAGAAGGCAGGGAACCAGGTTTTCTCTGAAGCAGCTGTGTGATGGCTAATAAGATGGGTGAGCCCAGAGAAACATCCTCTCTTTTGTGTTATCTCCCAAGACCATGGTGTATTTTCCTTTGTTGTCAGGATCATCGAAACTACCTTGTCCCATCCATCATCTCTGCCTGCCCCTTAGCACCAGCACCCTCAGTGCAGGGTGACCCTGGGCTTCCTCGGGTCACAGCCCGGCTGTGCTGGGTGACCGTTCTCCCTCCTTCCCCATAAGAAAGAGCCAGACCAAGGAGATGACCTCTGAAGCCCAGGGGAGGCTTGGCTCTAAATCAGGCTCCAGCCTCTCTTTGCCATTAGCGGATAAGAGCTGTGTCAGTGCAGCTTTTGGTGCAGATAACCAGAGACCCACTAACCTCCTGCCTTGCTGCAATGTGATGGCTTCTGGATCCTACCCAACTGGGTTGGCTCTCAATCAGAGATAGCTAGAAGGCCCATTTGCCAACTTCTAGGGGTGCCAGCCCCATATTATTACTGTAACAGGAGCTCGGAGAGGTGCTGTAGTTTCACTGCATAGTCATGCTGCTATATAGCCTCAGAGTAAGAAAATAGAGGCTCAACCCAGGTCAGGATCAAGGCTGACCCAGTGTGACCCGTGTTACCCAGAAGCTGCCTCTTGCACAGCCGTGATTGTGTTTGCTGCCTCCAATCTGATGGCGCGCTATTATAAACCTCCTCCTTGCCTCCTCGTCAGAGTGGGAGCTGCTGTTGTTGTTCCTGGCCCTGTGCCTTGTGCCCCATCCTTCCTTTGCTCTCCCAGCCTTCGGTTCTGTCAT